GTGTGTGTGTGTGTGTGTGTGTGTGTGTGTGTGTGTGTGTGTGTGTGCGTGTGTTTAAATCTGTTGGTGTGTTAAACTATGAGCCAGAAGTTTCACAACAGCTCCTGACGCACGTTTCCACCGCTGAGCTTCACGGGCATACATTTCCCAGAATGCATTTCAGCCATGCTCCTAAATATCTTTTCAAACTGTTTATTTTTGTCTCGGCAGCAGCTGTTCTGGGTGAATAAGATTTACATCAGCTCCTAAAAACAGTCAAATAATAAAAAGTAAAACATTCAAATAGATAAAATATTATCTGAGTAAATTATGATCAGACGTATTTTTATTTTTTATTCTTTGCAAATATGAACAACTGTCAGGCGATCATGTTTCATATAAAGAACTTAAACCAGATGAAGACAATTTTAGGAAATAATAACCTTTGATGTTTTAAATCAAAAACAGGTTTTATTATTATTAACAGTTTTTATTGTTTAAACAGACAAAGATCTGGTCGTAAAATATTAAAGTATTTTTGTAGAAAGTAAACTTTTCAGGGTTTTTCTACTGCCTGGACTTGACTCTAAAAACGTTCATATCTCCTGGGAACTCCTCATGAATATTAAATTATTAAAAAAGGTAAATCGAGCCGTTTCAGCGGTGGAGACGTTTCAGAACAGGTAAATTAATTAAAGGTTTGTGTCTGAAGCGGTCGTGACCGACGGACGGATTGTGTGACCCAAACGCAGAAAGTCAAGAAAAGACCGAGGAGTTTTACCTTCCAAAGGAGTGAGGTTAGAGCCCCCCTTTTTCCCATCCAGCCCATGCTGTGAGTACTGTTTCAGAAGGTTCTGGGCCTTCCGAATGGTTCCTGGTCCCAGAACCAGAAAGAGAGTCCAGAGGAGGGCAGCCAGGTCCAGACAGCCAAGAAACACAAAGAAGGAGGAGAAGGAGAGAGCTCGGAAGTGAATGATGCAGACAGAACATCCCTCCACCACAAGGCAGCCAGCGGGGGGGGGGGGACCACCACCACAGACACACAACATGAAACAAACTACGGACGAGCTGAAGCAGCTCCAGGGTCATGGAAGAGAACACACAGGTTAGAAATCATCATCATCATCAACAGGTTAACATGTTCAAAGTGACACGGCTCAGACGGCGGCCCCGCTCACAGCTGGCGCTCCGTTCTGACCACAGCTGGACAGCAGGCGTGGCGTGAACGGCCCCCACCTGCACTGAAAACACTCCGGACCTCCTTTAATCTGCACACGTTCTGTAGTCTGATCATAATCTGTCGAGAACCTGCAGGACCCCCCACTGAGCTGATGAACGGTTAGCAACGTTAGCATCGTTAGCATCGGACCTTCACAGAGCAACCAACAGCAGCAGCTTCTGTCAGAACGTCCGACCCGCACCGGAGCTCCGATTACAGCGACAGCTCTTTAACTCGGAGCAGCACGAGTTCATCTGTGATCCGACTGATTGAACCAAGTTCACTTGTGGTAAAACGAAATGTTGAAACTCTGACAACAGATTTACAACGAGCGAGCGGAGAGCTGGAAAACATCGACCCATCTGAGGTGGAGGAAGTTCTCTGCAGAGGTGGAAAACCTGAATACAACTTTAAATTCATATCCAACAGCAGGGATATGGAAATACTGTGCTTTTTTCAGCCAACTCAGTCACTGTCCAGTCTCAGTTCATGCCTTGAAAAGCTCTCATTGGGTTTGGAAACCAGTTTATACAGAGGATGGAAAGGGTTGAAAGGTCATGCAGGTAAATAATCTCAAAAAGGTTCAGTCAGGTCATCTGGACAGGTTCTTTTTGGGAGAAACGTTTCGTCTTTCATCTGAAAGACCTGATCAGTCCGAGGCCTGCCACCAAGGTCTGTCCTATAAATAGCACCTGCTTGTTGTGCTTCAAGACGGCCTGCTGTGGACTTCTCAGAAACTGGTTTTACACACACAAACTGGGAACCATCATTCTAAACCAGGGGTCTGCAACCTGCGGCTCTTTAGTCTCTCATCTGTGGCCCTTTAAAGCTTTGACCAAAACCAACGCCATACTGTTTTTAATTTGTTTCTTTATACCCACGACAGAAAATGTGAGTTTTAGCAGCTTTTTGTCATTAACTTTTATAAATTTGTGAAAGATACAAATAATACAAGGAAGGAAACGTGTTGATTACATTTAGCGACTTCATTTATCCACAACCTCCAGGCGTACAGAGGATCATTCTCTCAAAAAAAGATCAAATTAAAAAATCTATAACTTGTTCAGCAACAGTTCTAATTTTTTTTTTTGCATACTTTAAATTTATGTTTTATTTCTTCAAAGTGGAATACTTAATTTTGAATCAGAACAAAAAAAGACTTGCATAAGTCTGCAGAGACTTGGTCGATTGTTTCCATACTTTTGGTCTTTCCTTGTACCCTAAAATGTAAAAATATCAATAAATGTAAAAACTCATTATATATTTTTAGTTTTATGATGTCACCCCGACCGGCCAGAAGAGCCGCCCTCTAAGTGGCCCGTGGGTTTTGCAGCTCCACGTTGTATTTAGTGAGTGAGGTGGCAGAAACGGGTGTTTCGATGAAAGAGGCTGCAGACTCCGGGTCTAAACAATCGATCAGCAGCACAACAATCAAACGTTTGTCAAGGAGGTGACATTTATACAACAGACCACGTGGCAGGCCTCGGACCGATGAGGTCTTTCAGATGAAAGACGAAACACTTCTTCCAAAAAGAACCTGTCCAGATGACCTGATTGAACCTTGTTGTCACACAGAGGATGTTTATGTTCGAAACATTTGAAACATTTAAGGTTAATTAATAAAAGCAGCGGACCCTGTCTTACAGTGAAACAACCGTCTACGCTGCCCATCAGCCAAACTTCACGCCTGAAGCATCGAAACATTTAAACTATTTAAAATGCAGCGCAGGTCTTTATGACTAAAAAAGCTGAAACTGACATTAGTTACACACAAACACGGGCGCGCTAAACAACAAACCTTTAGTTTCACAGCAGCAGCTTTTATAAAAAACACTTTTCTTCCTGCTGGATGGAGGCGAGTCTGGAGCCGCGACCTCCTCGTTGGATTTAACGAGCCTCACCTTCTCTGAGTGACTCGCACGTCACCGTGAAACTAAAGGCCTTCACGCTAAAAACTAACTCCATCTGAGCCGAGAGGGGAGGCGAGGCAGCAGCACGCACACGCCGGAGCTTTGTTACCTGGGAGGTAGACTGTCGCCACAACACGGGTTAGAAGAGGAAAAGATGGAGGAGGGTTAAAAACCAAGACAAGAGCAAACGTTCAGCAACAACAGAAGCAGCTTCACGTGGCTGGGAGGAGGAAAAAGAGTCGCAGAGACAAAAGCAAGGCGTCTGACCTGGTCTCTTCGGCGCCTTCTTAGTGGGCGTGTCCTTGCGTTTGGTTTGGACGGCGGGCGAGTAGAGGATCCCCGAGGAGGCGCTGTTCTTACGGAAATGATCCTTCAGACCCTTGACGGAGCGATCCAGCTGACTGGACCGGATCTGGTAGTACACGTTCATGAAATCTGAACGGGACAGAAGAAACCATAAGACATTTGCTCAAAGAGGAATTAAACCAACAGTTTTACTGATTTAATCCTCAGTCAGAATCAGATTAAATCACATTTTAGTCTTTTTTTTTAATCTGCAAAAGAAAAAACTAAAATACTGAAGTTTGAAATGATAAACTTAAAGGATGATGTCCTGAAACACGCTCAGTAACTCAGGTAGAAAAATCTAACAAGGACAAGTCTGGTCCTCACTCACAAGAATCATCATCATCATCATCATCATCTGACCAGAGGACCTGACTGAACCGTGTTAGATTACAGGCTGACGTCGAACAGCGTCTTCGTTTGTTTGCTGTTTCACTGTCAGTAAAATAGGAGTGCGCTCTGTTGTTGTTGTTGTTTACAGTTTACACGCCGCCTCGACCCTTTCAGAGCCGGGGATGTAAGAAACGAACGGTCAGCCGTACCCTGGTTGCGTCCGTATTCCACCAGCCAGCCAGAGATGCAGATGATGTCCTGGAGCACGGCCTCGGGCAGATGTTCCAGAACCACCTCCTCCTGCAGCTCCATGTCTTCGTCCACGCTGATGGTGTCCAGGATGAGGATCGGGGGGACGGGTTTACTGTAGCGGGTCAGGAGGCTACGGAACTCCGCCTCCAGCAGCTCTTTGCCTTTTTCAAAACGAGCTTTCTGCAGGAACATTTTTTAAATATTTTCAAACAGCTTCCTAAATTGTCTTTACATTTTTAAACAACATGGAGCCGTGAAGATAACCAGGATGTTCTGAAGAGTCCATCAAAAACCCATCGACAGTCCAGCAAACCTGTTCAGATGAAAACAAACAGGTGAGGACCGTACCACTGTGTTGAGCTCGGGACTGTCAGGGTTGTTGTCCTGAAAATACTCCACAGCTTTCTGGATCTTTGCGATACAAGCCAGATACTCGTCCAGTCTGCCTGCAGGTCTGAGACAGAACACAGATCATCACGACGCAGAACCACGGCCACATCTGGACTCGGAGGCGGTCCTCACCCCTCCCGGATGATGCGGTCCGTGTCTTTGGCCACGTGGTAGTAGCTGATGACGTGGTCCATGCAGGACAGGGTTTTGTCCACGTTCTCCTGCAGCCGCTGCAGGTTCTCCGTCTGTTTGTGGACCGGGATGATGGAGTTCTCCAGCTGCATCAGACGGCTCTCAAACGACGACAGGATGGAAACCTGTGGACAGGAAAACACGCACGCAGGTCCATCACATCAAATACCTGAGGAACCTGCTGTTTATTATAAAAACATGATTTTAAACACCAGAAATCAAAGAGTTTGAACCTAAAATAATAAAAGGTTTAAATATTTCACACTTAAAAAACTCAAAAACTACTTTTAGCTTAATTAAAATAAAGTCTGACTCAAAATAAGCGACAATTATTTAAAAAGCTCCTTTTATTCTCACCAACAGGGTTAAACATTTATTATTTAAAGGTCTACTGAAACTACTGCTTCCTTTTCCAGAACATTTGAACACGTTTCTGAAACTTCTGTTTTTTCAGCCTCGTGATGCAGAAAAACCTAAACTGCAGAAAATTTGAATAAATCCTGAAAAACCAGCACGGCTGCACAATGACAGAGTACAGGAGCTGATAAGGGACAAAAAATGATGAGAAATATTCATTTGAAACGAATGTTCCCTCTGAATTTTTATTTCTTTTGCAACTTCAAGTAATTCCTGACAAAAACAAGCTCCTTCTCAATAAACAAAAATCCACCTGAAGCCGTTTCATTTTATGAATAAAAAACACCAGATGATACAAACCAAGTTTATTAAAACAGCCAAACTGATTTTTTTCTAAAATATAAATAAATTAACAAGTGATCAATGAAGGAGAAATAATAATAAACTCAAGCAAATAAAAACATAGAAAAAAAGACTAATACTAACTGAGACAAAAACCGATAAGATTAAAAAGTGAACTCGGAATTTTCCTGACATTTTCTAACGTGCTTGTTTTAGATTAAAGATTATTTTTTTAAAACTCCAGAAAAAGCAGTTTGTCAAAAACAAATAGCTAAATCACATTTTAATTGCATATTTAAAGAAGTGAATTTAAAAATGTACTTGTACTATGAAAATATAAACATATACTGAACTAACTGCAGTTGGAAACAGTTTACTCCGATAGTTCGACAAAACATTAATGTGAAAATCTGAAACGTGGGTATGCACTCATTGTAAACAAAGCCTTTAATCCGCATACTTTAATCAACCAATCTGAGCATCCATTTGAATCAGTAACTCAAAACTGTCAGATTTCATCATCTCAAACTGCTGGTCCACTAATGTCACCACCACGAACCACTTTTCAATCACTTCCTGTTTCCTCAGGTAAACAAACACACCTGGTAGTTGGCAGCAGGTCGCACGTTTTGTTTACGAGTTATTAATTTATGACACCGTAACCATCAAACCATCAAAATGAGAAAATATTGTTCCAGTTTTATTTTGCACTTTATGAAGAGAATATGTTTTTCAAGGAGTTTAAATGTTTGTTTTCACCTTTTCTTACATTTATAAATTTAATCGTCTGTGTTGTACTTTCATGTGCACTTTGGGATTTGGTTTACTCTGGGTGTTTTCAATATTTAATAAGTGTGTCTTGACTGGAAGAACCCCTCTTTGTTTGTTTGTTTGTTTGTTTGTTTGTTTGTTTTCTCACCATGCCTTTGGTCAGCTGATCGCTCTTCTCCAGGTTCTCTCTGATGAAGGACAGAGTTTCCTGTTCCTGTAAAAACCAGAAGAACACCAGCTCACTTCGCACTGTCTCACAACACTGACGTTAGATACAGATGTTATAACTGTGCGTGTTTATTAAAAAGGTCAAATGAGCTAAACGAAGCCTCTTCCTGTCCATCGGTGTCGGACCTGCTTCAGTTTCTCCTCGATCTCCCGCTTCCTGGCGGACGCGTCCTCGATAGGAATCATCCTGGAGCGAACTCCCATCAAAGGACGGGCTTCAGAGGAACAGAAGAACAAATATAACCCGTTTATTTCATGAATACGACAGTTAAACGCTGCTTAACGCAAAAAGCTAAAGTTAGCAAGCACAAGTAGGTTCGGCATCAGTTTTAAGCTACATGTTCCGGTTAAAGTTTCAGAATAAAATAAATTAAAGTAACGTTTTGAAGAAGTTTGATTTTTCTTTACTTTTATTTTAACAGATTTATCTAAAATATATCTATAGAGCAAAAATACTCAATTCCTTCCGCGTTATTCTGGTTATTCTTCATAATTTAAGCAATTTAAAAGAACGATAGTTTTATTATGAAGGTAAGCCCACCCAGCTTCCGCTTAGGCGTCATCTTCTCTTCCGGATGTCAATCATGCATCAGGATGTCAATTTATTTACTTTGCCCAAACCAACAAAAATGTTTATTGGAGAAAAACCCCGTGTTGAATTCTTTTACATTAAATATTAAATAATTTAATTTCATTCGATGTTCCTGACTGTAAAAAGAAATTAAACGATATTTGAAATAAAATGCTGCAATTACCGAAAGCAAACGCTGGATGTCGCTGTCGGGTTTAACAATGACTTTTTGTCAAAATAAGATGTAGCTAAATGTTTTATTTGAACGCATTTATATTTTACGTTCTATAAATAGTTTTATCTGTGATAAATAAAAAACAGCATTTCATTGAAGTTGTCCCGTTTTTAGTTTTATTCAGAACCCAGAAATTTGAGGCTCGGACTTTTGGTCCTCGTTAAGGTTATAATTGAAAAACATTAATTGTGACTGAATCAATCTGGTTTTTGTTGATCAGATTAAAAATCCTACATTAACAGGAGTTAAAGAAACATTAAAGAATGAATCAGAAACTTCCATCATCTTAACTACAGTAAATACTAAATGAAAACTTTATTTGATGGAACATTTAAATTAAACTCACCTCTTTAGTTTCAGGGCACATAAAGTCAAAAATATAAATAAACAGTTAACTATAAGTGCAAGGTTTAAAACAACAGTACTCCCTCACTTTACTACACAAATCAAAGTTTTTCATAATAAGTTTGTTCTCCAAGTTATTTTATTATTGCAGTCTGAGAATACAAAGCATTTTAAAATGTGAAGTCTTTAAGAAAATTGTAATAAAACTTAAAATAAATAGTTCTTTCCACACACGGGGTGCCTGATTTGATTCTATATTTACACTTCTTTGTATTTTCTTGCATCTATATTTAAGGGTAAATAATAAAGACTTTTTTAATGCTTGAAAAATATTTACAAATAAATCTGCACAACAGAAGCTGGTTCACATAATTTGTTTACTTACATATTTACACTCAATCGATTACGTCATCTGTTGTGGAAACAAAAACTGTTCATACAAACCTTCTGCAAAATGTTTTAATGTTACATAAAGTTAGATCAAATAAAAAAAGTTGGGTTTGTGAGGCCGAAACATAAAACTAGTCATTCTGAAGTTTCATGTTTAACTGTTCCAGCTGAAGTGTTTTTATTGCTCAGCTTCAGTTTATGTAAAAACACCAAGCTTCTACCTAAAAACCAAAACTGTTGTTTTCGTCCGTGTTGAGGTTGAAGAGAGTCCAGCTGGTGTGAAAGCTTCAACAACGCGGCAGCGTGACTCTACGATTCCTCTTCTTTAGACAGAGCCTGTCGATGAAAAACACGGTTCAGAGCTGCTCCTCAGATTCTTCTCCAGGGTCCAGACACCAATCAGCTCACCTGTTTGAGGAACTGTCGGCCAAAATAGTTGGTGGCCATGTTCTTCAGGTTGGTCTTTCCCCCGACTTTACATCGAACGTATCCGTACAGGTTGGCTCCCTGCAGCACCACGCCCATGATCACTAAAGGCTGATGGGAACACCGCAGCTTTAGAGCTCAACAGCAAAAAAAAAACATAGAAAAATTCTTGTTTTTTAACAAAAAACCATTAAGACGGCGACTGAAAGTCTTACCATCCATTTGATCTTGACCGAGAACAGTACGCTGAAGGCAAAGACGACCCAGATGACGGGGCAAATAATCAGGCCGAGCCAGAAGATCCGCGACTCGGAATCAGACGCCTGCTGCTTCCCAGATCCCTGCAGGAAACATTCAGTCAGGACACCACGGCCTCAGTGACCCCCCACACGAGAACGGATCAGAACCGTACGGTCCACGAGTGGAACGCACCTTCCTCGACTCGAACACCCAGCGGCTCTGACCGTCGTCGTCCACCTGGTTCCACCACCGCAGGCCGACCATCAACCTCCCCGTGACGTTCTGGAAACCAACAGTCGATCCAGAAACAACCAGTCAAAGTTCAAACCTTCTAACCACTGGATTTACATCTGATTAACTTCTGGAGTGCTCCTGATTGAAGATGGCCGCCACGTCTGGGCAACTAGCTGCGCGTCGTCCTCAACACGTGAACTCCATCACATGAGCTCAGTGTTGCAAAGATTACACAATTTATTTATGGTTAGACCAAAACAGATGCAAAGCTCTCTCACAGGAACATCAATTATTTTACTTTAAACTTTGGAATAAAAGGCGGCGGGTGATAGGCATTTGTTCAAAGAATACCAGGTCGATCATTTCAGTCACGCTCCAAGTTTAGAGAGGAAACTTTGAGGATTCAAGTTCCTCCATTTCCTTTACTTCCCTAAACGGATTTATCCTTTAAATGTTTAAACATCTGTCAAAAATGCAATAAAAACATTAAATAAGAGGATTTTGTTGCAAGAAAAAGCTAAAAATAAGGGATTTATTTTCCATTCTTGCTGATCTGATTATTTCAGTGGATGTTTTGAGCAAGAACAAAAAAGCCTCGAACCTTTACAGTCCAGAAGTCGCAGGAGAGCAGGAGGATGATCGAGACCATGGAGGCGATGAAACTGGCGCTGAGGAGGTCACAGAGGAGGTAGACCAAGGTAGCGCTGACTCTGAAGAAGAGGTGGAAGAAGGACGCCACGGGATGCCTGAAAACACATTTTCAGATGGACAGACGGAGCTCATGCATCGTCCTGCTCCCGTGAACAGGCGCCGCACGCTTCAGCCGTTAATTATTACAGATATGATACAAAACGACAGTTCACAGAAAACACAAGAAATTATTTTGATTTTTTTCAGATAGAGCAAAGATCAATTGCTTTTAAGCTGTTAAAAAAGTTTAAAATACTAATAAATCTTTTAATAAGAGAATATTCAGACCTGAAGAAGCCGTGAATTTAAAAAATGATTGTTTTTAAATTGTTGTTTTAGCGAGTTTAAAAAACACGTTCAGGTTGTAAAAGGAACAAAACTGTCAGGAAAGAAAAGTAAAAATTATATTTTTTGGAAAGTATAGGCCAGGGGTGTCCAAACGTTTCCCTGAGGGACTAACTGAAAATCAAAGGGCTGCGGGACGATGGCAACAATATGATACAACATCCAAACACTCCTTTAACTAAAGTTCTTTTATTTTGTAAAGAGTTGCTTAAACTTCCTTTCTGTACAAAAAAACGTTAAAGAACACAAAATATAACAAATAAGTCGTACAGGAAATTAAAACAAGCATTTAAATTTCTTTCAGTTTGTAGTGCAAAATGTCAAAACGTGCACATCCAGCAGCAAAACACGAGCAACAACAGCACGGTGTGAGCTGCAGCCGGTCCACCCAGACCCGTACGTGCGGGTCAGACAGAGGCCGTCTGATCCTGGACTCGTTCAGGTTCTGACCACGGCAGCATCACCCGCGTGTTTCCTGATGCTGCGGTTCTGAAGAGACGTCTAGAAATGTTTGAGGTGTACGGACGTGAATTTATTCCTGAGCTCAGAATCAAAGTGAAAGAGCTGAAACAATTATTGGCAGGAAGTGCTTTGGTCGCCCAACAAACACATGATTTCATCAGTGAAACTATTAAATGTTATGATTTGGTTGAACATAGTATTTTACAAGTCGTGTATAAAGCTCATAAATAAATATTACCCCCAAATATTCAATTAAAACTAGTTGTTTTTTTTTTAAAAGAGAGTCGTTATAAGTTTAAGTGAGTGGAAAAGTTTGTAAAAGCTCATTTAGAAGTGGTGAGAAGGAGCTGCGCTGGAGTTCAGGGAACAGCAGCGCAGCCGTCTCCAACATTTCTAAAACAATTTATACGTTTAAATAAAGTTAAAGTTGTTAGGAAAGTATGATGTCATGTGAAGGAGATTTTGTTTGTAGTTATTTTATGTTTTTAAATAAGGGGCAGATATTATAAGAATGTTCTTCTTCTTTCTGCAGCCTCTTCTTTCAATGTTTTACTTTTTTAATGGATTTGTTTTGTTTCTTTGTTTTCTTCTTTTAACTGAATGAATAAATAAATAAATAAACAGAAACTCGATCCGGCACCGAGTCCTCGCTGATGCTGAAGGGCTGTGAGAGCAGCTCCATGTCACCTCCACGGTTCCAAAGTGCTAAAAATAGCTTGCCTGCTGACACATGTCGGCGGAGAAGCTGCCACTTGGACGTGAAGGCCGTTACGTGCTCAAACAGAGCAGTGACGATCTGTTCCTCGCCTGGAAGCTGAATGTTGAGCAGGTCCATTCAAGCCACGTCACTGAACCGTCCGTCACCTGAGAGAACTCGTCCCTGGTCCTGCTCGTCAGAAACTCCATGACGCAGCTCTAAAAACCTTTCGAGGACTTTCCCGCGGCTCGGCCAGCTCGCCTCTTGGTGGTAAAGCACGTCTTTGTGCTCCGAATCAACAGAAGGGTCTTGAACTGTCGGTGTGAGAGGGCTTCGGAGCGTACGCACTTTATAATTACAACATCGCGCATCAAGTCCCCCAAGCTGAATGATTCGGCACATGGTTGTTCCTGGTCAAGGATGCAGAGGTGTTGCGTCACCACCTCTCCACACTGGGAACCTTCTGGGAACCCGCTGTCCTCCCAACCACGGCAGGAGCTCCGTCCACCGTCACCACCGTCTCCCAGCTCAGCCCGTTCGTATCCAGCACTCGCTCAACTGCTGCAAACAAATTCTCACTTTTTGTTGAGTCTCAAGTGCGGCCGGTTTCTGCGTCTTTTCCATGTTTCCACTCCACGAGTGGAAACTAAGAGTTGAGCAGAGTCCCAGATGTCGGCGCTCTCGTCTCACGCCAAAGAAAAGGCAACAAATGGACGAGCTCTAGCTTGAGACTGCTCCGTAACGTCCCTGTGTCCTCCATGAGAAACGGTGCAGTGTTTCGTGAGAGGCTGATTTGGGAGAAAGCGTTTTTCTTGAGACGGGCACATGAGCGCCGCGGCTGTGGGCGACCGTAACAAATCCTCCATGGCAGTAAAGAAATCTTCCTCCAAAGGTTTTTCTGAAACGTCTTTGTGAGCCCCTGACGATGTCGCTCCATGCTGGTGCTTGTTCGAGCCCTGAGTCAGCGTGGCGGCCGAAAACTTTCATTTATTTTTAGACCGATTTGACTCGTCCACTCCGGCAGCAAAGGCTCATGGACGTTTCATAAACTGATCAAATATGAGCAGCTGTGGTCTCAGAGTGCAAATCTACCAGTCTGCTTGAATCTAATGGAAACGTCTCTTGTACTTACTTCATGCTTAATCTTACAGAACCGAGAACAGAACCGAGACCCGCCCTGTCAACAGAACCGAGAACAGAACCGAGAGACCCGCCCTGTCAACAGAACCGAG